CTGGGAGCGGCATTGGGTTCTCGGCGCCGAGCACCCGCGGAGCCTGAGACATAGCGAGAGCCCCCTCCACAGCCCCGCTGGGACATGGTCCTGCCCTGCGCCCTGGTGGCTGTCCTCCTAGCTGCCGGCCACGCAGGTGAGTCCCCTCCCTCCATTCACGGGGGCAGGAGCGGGGCCGGCCGCGGGTGAATCTTCATCTAAACCATGGATGAGCATTTCTTTTCCGCTGCGAACGGATTCATATTTATAGGTTTTTTCTAATGTTCTATATTCTCTTATGATTTCTCTTATACTTATTATATGGTAGAAAGGATGTCAGGCCTCCTGCTAGATAATCCAGCGCTTCTGAGGATATTTATTGTTGTCAGGAAACAAACTGCCGCGGGTGAATCTTCATCTAAACCATGGATGAGCATTTCTTTTCCGCTGCGAACGGATTCATATTTATAGGTTTTTTCTAATGTTCTATATTCTCTTATGATTTCTCTTATACTTATTATATGGTAGAAAGGATGTCAGGCCTCCTGCTAGATAATCCAGCGCTTCTGAGGATATTTATTGTTGTCAGGAAACAAACTCCTATGCTTTTGCTAATAACCATTACCTGTAGTAGCCTAAAGGCTAGTGTGAATTGTTGCGTGTTTTTTCTCTTCCCAGTAAGAATTGGACTTCAGGGTATTGTCTACCTAAGTTTGACAAGTTATCTTAGTAAGATGAGAATACTGGTGTAGCTATACAAAATGCTAATCAGAGCTTTTGGTTTCATTCTAGCCAACCCTTGCTGCTCAAACCCCTGTCAGAACAGAGGAGTATGCATGACAACAGGATTTGATCAGTATGAATGTGACTGTACAAGGACAGGGTATTACGGGGAAAACTGTACCACACGTAAGTATCTTAAATCTCTCTTCATGGAACTGAAATTTGAAAATTAAATCCCAGTATTGCAGATTATCCTCAACAGCTAATTTACAATAATCTTTTCATTAATGCTCACAGCGGAATTCTTCACATGGCTGAGGCTAACATTGAAACCTTCACCAAATACTGTCCACTACATCCTTACCCACTTCAAAGGAGCCTGGAGTATCATCAACAACATACCCTTCTTACGCGATGCTATTATGAGATATGTATTAACATGTAAGTATGACTTCTGTCTTCTGGTCCTCTTAACTGACAGAAGTCACTCCTAGGACTCCAGAATGATAGATTGGTCTGTATATAAAGTTAGCAACCTAAATTGAACTGAAGTAAAAACAGTCTACTCAAAACTTGAGATTTCTGCATGATGCAGACTTGTATGAAATATGCTTTGAAATGGAGATGAATTTTGCTTTAATCTCTTAAAGAATTCAGGATTTTGCTAGCATTTTGCACTCAATTGCTAATGTTAATAGCTGGACTCAGCTGATAATCCGGGACTCAATCCTGTTACTGAGTAACTGTAATCCCATTTAACATCAGTAGCTGATGTACGTGGAATTTGTCAATGAATGCAACTGCTTCCAGAATACATGGAAAAAATATGGCCTTGCAACTTACTTTTTGAGACGAAAATGTACGTCTTGGGGAGGGGGGAAAACCCACACAAACAAACAATTTTTTTAATTTTCTTTTTCAGCAAGATCACACTTGATCGACAGCCCACCAACTTACAACAGTGATTATAATTACAAAAACTGGGAAGCTTATTCCAACCTTTCCTATTACACAAGAAGCCTTCCACCAGTAGGACTTGACTGTCCAACACCAATGGGTGTGAAAGGTAAGGAATAAACCAAATGCATAATGTTCACTTCTAGGAATTTCTGTTTATTTTATCTTAGAACATACCATGAGACCTGCTTGTCTGTAACCTTTTCCAGGGTAGGTTACTTTAAGAATAGCCATTGTTTTGGATATACTGTGTAAAGAGGTAAAAGATAACTATTCTGACTCTCACTGAGTTACATCATAAAACTGCGGAATTTAGAGGTTTCAAACAAAATCAAGAAAGTGAGCATAGAGAAGCAGATAATTCCCCTTAATTTAGTGCTGCTGTCCCTCAATAATATATTGAAAGCTTTAATCCTTTCTGTTAGGAACAAAATTAAGTATTGCATAAACATAGTTCTCTGGAATATTTCACTATTTCTTTCTCTTGCAGGTAAGAAAGAGCTCCCAGATTCCAAGCTGATTGTGGAAAGGTTTTTGCTAAGGAAAAAATTTATTCCTGACCCACAAGGCACAAATGTGATGTTCACATTCTTTGCCCAACACTTCACTCATCAGTTCTTCAAGACGGACCACAAGAAAGGACCTGGCTTCACCAAAGCTCTCGGCCATGGGGTATGATCATAGCTCTGTAACTTGAACACAGCACTTAGACCTTTTTTGCCACTAACCATTTAATGCTATCTTGAAGGTTGTCAGGGTACACAAACACCAGTTCACATACTGTGCAGCACTATTTGCCACAATCTGATGGGTTTGTCCCTTCTGTGACTTCTGCTTAGGCAAAATTCCAGCACTCAGTAACATCTCTTCCTGGGTCAAAACCACTTTATGTAAAGCACATGATTCTGGTTAAAATATCTGCACAATGATCTTTGACTTTTTTACTATTCGCAAGAATCTGCTCTCACCTAAAGCATGTTAGATCTAGTGAGTATCTAGAATTTCTCAGTTGCAAAGAGCTGTATCCCGTGCTGTAAAGTATGTTGTCTGCTGCAAATCAGAGACTTAGTTTAAAAAGAACTTCAAAAGCAGACTTGGTTTAGGATCTTTATCTATAAAGTGGGCAGCCTTTGGACAAAGAGTTCTTCAATATAAGTAATGTGTATGTCTAAAACAAGGCAATAAAATATCTGTGTATATAAAGACCTTTCTGCATAATAGAAAGCTGCTGACACTTTTAAACAGAGTCCTTTTAAATTGCCAGTCAATTTAAAAACTTGCTGTTATGCTGAGATAGCTGTAGTTGCCAGGAAATAATTTGGCTTCATCTTAAATATCAATTCATGATACTTATAAGGTAACAACAATATAATTAAAAGGTAAACATCTAAGGGATGAACTCCTATTGGCATCCATAGAAGTGGGACACATCCTAAAATAGCAAAAAATGTGGGCTGGCTTCATGTTGCAAATACTTTTGTTTTATAGGTTGACTTGAACCATATTTATGGAGAGACTCTGGAGAGGCAACTTAAACTGAGACTTCTGAAGGATGGAAAGCTAAAATACCAGGTATGTCTTATCTCAGAATCCCTGCCTTCTTATTGCTTGACAGATACTTCCTAAAGCTAGTGCTCTGTGCATGGTGTAGTTGATCTAAAGCATAAGCCTGAAGTTGGTAGTAACAGTCAATGCAAGTTAACTTGTAGCATCATGGCTTACAAGTCTCTTGTTCTTTCTCCCTACCCCTGACAGATGATTGATGGAGAAATGTACCCACCAACAGTGAAGGACACTCAGGCAGAGATGATCTACCCTCCTCACATACCAGAACACTTGCAGTTTTCTGTTGGGCAGGAGGTGTTTGGCTTGGTCCCAGGCTTAATGATGTATGCTACAATATGGCTGAGGGAACACAACCGGGTCTGTGACATCCTGAAACAGGAGCATCCGGAGTGGGATGATGAGCAGCTGTTCCAAACTACTAGACTCATATTGATAGGTGAGTGTCACTTCTACTACATGCAACTCAAACCTTCTCTTGGGCATGACAATTCTACCTGTTATCTACTGCAGATGTAGCAGGTGTAATCAGAGTGAAAATTATTACATAAATTGGTACATGAGGGCATACATATGAGCCTGCATGACCTGTCACTGGGATTGTATTGAGATACAGCTTCCTCCTGTACATCTATATTAAAGACAGAACTGAATAAAACTGAGCTAAGTGATACTTAATTCCCTTATCAAAGGGAAACAGAACTGAAAGTGGTGAAAAAGCAGGAAACTAAGGCTCACTTTTCAGAGAAAGCATGCAAGGCTAGGTGACCTCAGACTCTCAGACCTTGTGGAGGGTTTTTGTGTTTTTTGTTTTTTTGGGTTTTTTTTTCTTGGAGTTGGGTCAGTTCAAGTATAGTTTAAAAGAACAGCTGTGTTTATCTAATGTTCAGGAAATAATGTAAAATGTAATTCTACATACTTGTCTAACTGTCTAGTGGTATTTAGTCTTCTGTAAATTGTGATGTACACTAAGTTTGAAAAGATCTTGCTCAAATTGACTGAAACAGTAAACCAAGACAATTTACTAAGCAGCTCAGAAGCTGAGAGTTGGTTTCAGATACCAACTTTCTTTATTATCTCCTACATCCACCTTAGAGAGTATAGTATAACTGAACACAGTGTAGATACTGATGTGTGCTGTTCTGTGGAACATACAAGGAAGTGTATCTGGGGTGTGGGGAGCAGCCTGTAGAAAATGCTTCTCTACCACAGCAAAAAAAATTTTGGAGTCTTAAAAGTACTGCTTCACCTCTTAATCATGGAAGATATATGAATTCTTCTCTAGAAGAGATAACAATGTTGAAGAGTGTGTTACCCTGATCATTATAGTTCTGGAGGCGTTTTTTTAATAACAGTTTAGAAATGGTATTTTCTCTATCAGGGAATCAATATCAATATTCTCCTCTCTTTCATTGACCAACAGGAGAGACAATCAAGATCGTTATTGAGGACTATGTACAACACTTGAGTGGCTACCACTTCAAACTCAAGTTTGATCCTGAGTTGCTGTTCAACCAGCGATTTCAATACCAGAACCGAATTGCAGCTGAATTTAATACTCTCTACCACTGGCACCCACTTCTGCCTGACACTTTCCAAATACATGACCAGGAGTACACTTTTCAGCAGTTCCTCTACAACAACTCCATAATGCTGGAACATGGCCTTTCCCATATGGTGAAATCTTTCTCCAAGCAAAGTGCTGGCAGGGTAGGTACTCTCTCAAGTTGCTAGTGAACCAACAGAGATGTAAACTAGGGATGGGACAAGGGGGTAAGAGGAAAGCTATCAGAAACTAATCAAATACTATAAAGGCACAACTTCATCATTACTTTTATCGGGAGATCTTACTACTTTTCATCTTTATTAAATAGGTTGCTGGTGGGAAAAATGTTCCTGCTGCAGTACAGAAAGTAGCGAAGGCTTCAATTGACCAAAGCAGACAAATGAGATACCAGTCCTTGAACGAGTACAGGAAACGCTTCATGTTGAAACCATTCAAATCATTTGAAGAACTTACAGGTAACAATGTTTATCCTTTCCAACAAACAAAGGCCCCTTTCTGTTAGCCTAAAATGGCTAACAGAGTCCTACAGTGTTGTTACTGTCTTGAACAGGACTGTCTTGCAGTGAAAATAGGATTTTTCCACTTACAGTTTTTACTTGTCGATTACAGGAGAAAAAGAAATGGCAGCTGAACTGGAAGAGCTTTATGGAGACATTGATGCTATGGAGCTGTACCCAGGCCTTCTTGTAGAAAAGCCACGACCAGGTGCCATCTTTGGTGAAACAATGGTGGAGATTGGAGCACCATTTTCTCTGAAAGGACTCATGGGAAATGCTATCTGCTCCCCTGAGTATTGGAAGCCTAGCACCTTTGGTGGAAAAGTTGGATTTGAAATAATCAATACTGCATCCTTACAGAAGCTCATCTGCAACAATGTGAAAGGCTGTCCGTTCACAGCTTTCCACATCTTAAATCCTGAACCCACAGAGGCAACTATTAATGTTAGTACCTCAAAAACAGCAATGGAAGACATCAATCCCACACTACTACTGAAAGAACGATCTGCTGAGTTGTAAAAATCCATCTATTTATTTATTTAACTATATAATTTATTCTATTTATGGCTTAAAGTGTTTTTTTTTTTTAAAAAAAAAAAAAAAACCAGGGAAAAACCCCTTCAAGACTTGAGCATCTTCATTCTGGGGGTTGCCTTAGATGCCTTACTCAGGTAAGGCTTCTACTTACAAAAGGGATTTTCTGTGTTTGAGCTCTACAGTGCTGAATCCCTTGTTTAAGGTCTTCTGTAACAGAACTATGTATTCCAAAGTGGACAAAGGTTCCAACTCTTTTTATGTTGTTTTAATACTTGACGAAGAGTGTTAGTGGGGTTTTTGTCTCTTCGCTTGATAGGTCACATAACACTACAAAAGCAAGTTACTGCCTCAGCAACTTCTTAAACAAGCCATTGAACTAAAACTACAAGAAAAAATTGCCTTCATGAAAACTGACAAAAGATTATGAATTCAATATGAGCACTCAAAGATTAACAAAAATACATATACTTGAGACTCACTTATGTAAAGTCAGAAAATGTATTGCATTCATTGTTGATACTACCTCTCCCTCTTTGCAAAATAAGGCACTTTTTATAGTAACTTATGTTTGGGTTTATGTGTAAATCTACTTTCATGTGGCATTATACTTTTTTAATTTATTTAAAGAAAATAGAACTTTTTTTGGATACTACTTGTTCTTGAAGCATATGTCACAGAAGTATTATTTGTGTAAGAGGATAATAATAGGTACTGAATTTAGAACTGACTCTCATGCTGCAGTACAAGGCTGCTTGTATCTTGCTCCAGATACAGTTTTATCAGACCTTGGGAAGGTCTTAGTCCAAACTATTGCTATTCTTTTTGTAGCTGTAGTTCTCTGTTCTACTTCATGATATAATTGTAATCATTGTCACTTTAAGGACAAATGGACAGTATAGTTTTAGTTAAGGATGTGACTATAGTATAGCTTTTAGTACCCAAACCCCAGACTCTTGGGGAACAGTGAAAACTGAGAAGCTGTGTAAACACACACAGCAGAGAAATGAATATAGCGTAGATCTAGCAAAACTTCAAGGCACCAAGACTTGAAGGTAGCTTGTCTATGTACACAAGCTATATTTGTGACTTATAGTTCTATTTACTGGGGGGAAAAGGGATAATGTTTTGTTTATAACATATAAACAGAGGCATTTTAAGTGACTTAAGCTTATTTAAAACTGGCTGGCTAGGACAGAATCTCCTAGACATATTTGTCCTGATCCAGCACTAAAATAATGTAGGTCCATCTGGGTACGTAAGGAGTTACGCAGGTTCTTGTACTAGCACTTCAAACTTTGCATGTAAGGGTATTTTTTTTTTTTTTTTTTTTTTTTTTTTCCTAATGCAGAGAGAGGAAATGTAGAAGATGATCTTCCTATAAAAGCAGCTTGGGAACTATAGATAAAAAGAAAAAGTCACTTCAGACTGGAATAGAGCAGCAACCTGCTATTCTGTGCCTCTGCCCAAAATTCCTTGACTACTTCTGGAAAAGGACTTGAGTTTTATATTTCACATGAATCTCTCAAACATTTCTAGAGGCCTGTGTGTTGCAATGGCTATGGCAGTAGTATAGTTTGACTGTGACTTCTGTTTCTGTTGATTTGTTTAGAGAGGCCAATTACCTTTTGTTGTGTAAGTCTGTAACTGTTAGTGCGAATAGCTGAATCAAGACCTCCTATAGCAGCCAGTATCAGTGACTGATTTGAGGTGGTCTTTGGTATGAATGCTTTGGGAGAAAAAAGGGCATTTATTTTCCTTCTTCTGTTTGAAGCATGAAGAAGGGAAAATCTTCAATAACCTTGTATAAAAAGGTGGTTAGTACTGTATTTGCTTATAAGTGAAAACTGCTTGGACACTTGATAAACCTGTAATTGTTATACAGATCCATCTTTGGAACACACTTCAGAGCACCCTTCTACTATTAACAAGGAAAAGTGGTTGGCTTAGAGTCAAAGGAAGATGAGTCTAGACAGATCTAGTTATTTTAGGGTATGTAACAGAGGAATTTGAGTTAAGTTGTAAGCTGCTTCAGAACAGAATCATGTTCACTGTGTTTTGTACGCTGCAGCCACATTTCAACAGTCACTTATCTTTGACCCAACCTGCTGGGTTTGGCTGGGTTCAAGTTGCTTATGATAAATATGTATGTTTGAGATTATTTATTTAAAATTCTGTGAATTGCTTTTCATTTTATTTTTGTAGGACAAGAATGTTTTTTAAAATGCAATTGTTTATATAAATAAATTGGAAACATTTCCTTTGTGGGCTTATTTATGTGTGATTTCCTTCAGCAGTATTTAGTATGAAATAACTCTTTCATCTTATTTGCCACTTGAGATTAAATGCGGAATTCTAAGCAGTTACTAACAGCATTAAATTCTCTCATATCAAACCCAAGATGCCTGTAAGTTAAATCATCCAAATATGTTGTTTGGGTTTTTGCTTTTTCACTGGTGACCAAAGCAGGGGGTTTCACTATGACAGAGATAGAGAAGCCAGCTGCTCTTCCCCAACAGTAACAATGCCAGCAGTGGTATCTCTTGAGGATGTAGGTGATTTAGATGGAAAGTACAATATTGGAAATGCACAACACCAAGTTGGTGTAAGCAACCTCCCTTTACCACTCTAGGGGCTAAGACTTTCCCAAGCAAGAACAGGCCATAGACTTTTCTCTTCAAGCTTAGCATGCTCCATGAGGTGCAACAACTTTGGTATACAAGCAACCATTCGACAAGGCCTTTGTACTTGAGTGCATCTTCAGCAGTGGTAGCTTGTCCCTGTGTTCAGACAGGAAAGTATGAAGCTGTGACATCCACTTCACTGACTGCTTTCCCTTTGCACAAGGGTCCTGCTTTGTTGTCATCATCACAGGTACTGGCTAACTTTGCAGAGTCATACAAGCTAGAATGAGGGGCAGTGGGGTTAAGACAAGCAGTGATGTGCATAATAAAAAAACAGGAAGGAATTGCAGTGTGTTCTTCTACAAGGAGCACCTCCAAGGCCACCAGTTTCTTTCTTATGTTTTCATCTCTGACAAGAACTGAGGGGAAGCTATGAAGGAGACAGCTGAGGGGAGCATGCACCTTATACTGCCTCAGTCAACTGCTACTACCATCACTCAGACACTGACCAAATGTCACCTCAAGCACTCTTTTGTGCTCAGTCCTCACTATCATCCCACTGTTGACTGTTTCAAATACTCCCCCATCCTCCTTCTTCATAAGTGACCAACCCCACAGCCACAGTCCTTCGCCCAGAGACACCTTCCTTCCAGCCACACAAAACCGTCTTCAGTCTAAGGCTCATCCCAGTGACACACAGCTTTATATACCCAGCAATACTGCAGGCCTGGGAATATGACAGTCCTCCTGCCTCTGCTCTGTAGCTCCTTTCCACCTCCACCAGTGTGCAGCTCCCTCACATTCTTATTGTACCCAGGCACCTAAACACCTACAGCAATTCCCCTCAGCTTAAAACTCAGTCTTCATCACTTCAGTTACCATCGTCAGCTCCAAAAATACAATGTTTTGAGGACCCTTCCAAGAGCATCACTCCAGTCCCTCTTTTGGCTGGATGTGGAGGCTATGGGTGAACAGAGGCACGTGCAGAGCATATATGAGGAATGTGGCTTTTTTTTTTTTTTTAATAGCCAGTCAACTCATTCACTTGACAAGTTAATTCATTTCTTACATGTTTCTTTTTTGAGGGAAAATGGAGCAAGGGAGTGAGCAAAGACAAGACCACTTCAGGAGAAGCATGGGCTTGGCAGCTGCTGCTGCCAGGATGGCAAGGTGCTGCATGGGGAAGCATGGCAGCAAGAAGGCAGCAGTGAGGTCATCCACAGAGAAGATGTTTCAGGTGACTGCTGCCCTAATTAGGGAAGGGCCAGTCCAGATGGCTTCAGCACACGATGGATGAGATAGCTTGATCATGGAGCAGCTCCTCCTTCCCTCTGAGCAGGGGCATGTCCTGATGATACAAAAGGCAAGAATGTTCCTCAGAGGAAACTTGCCCTGTGAAATACTTGCTTTCCAGCCTGGGTTGAGGTAACTGTTTCCCCCAAGGCAATGTGGTAAAGGAGGGGGGGCACAGCATTTAAGTCATACCCTTTGAGGGAAAGTCCATCAAGGAGTACAAGAGGTCTGTGCTTTGGGAGCAGGTAACCACACACCATCACCTTTACCAAGGGCTTTTGCCATTCGTCATTGGCTTGCTTGCCTACTGTGTAAGAGGTCTTTATGGATGCTGAGTCGGAGCCCCACAGGCATCTGACCAGGATTATTACTTCTGATACGCTCACTGGAAGTGCACTGACCTTTACACTGGAGCACTAATGCTCCCAAGACATCTGCTTCACCCAGGTTTCAGGAGACATTTCTATCACAAGTGGCTTCTGCTTCTGAAGGAGTACAAGAGGACTCCTTGCACTTTCAGCAGCAACACAGAAAAGTTAACAGGTAGTTTGACCAAGCTGCAAGAAGGACAGGAAGGAGAGAGGGAAACCCAGGTAGAGGGGAACAGATATATCACTTGTTCCTTGCCTGCTCACTGCTATTGAAATAGGTGAACAGCTCTGGAAAAGCTTATTGAAAATATGTGCTCTTTCCTTTGGAAGACTGCAAAGGAAAAGCATCTGCAAGTTGTAAATATATATATATATACACACATACATATGTATATAAGACAGAAAGGAGCAGGCTCTAGCTATATACTCTAGATACAGAAAAGGAGGTGAATGGATAAACCCTAACCTTTTTGATAAAAAGCATGAAAAGAGGCATGCAAGGCAGAAATACACCAGCATCACAAAGAAACAATGTATGGAAAAAAATCTCATAGAAAAGAGCTGAGTGCTCTGTTTCCTTTAATGTGGAGTTTCAGTTCGGAAATTACATTACACTGAGAAGCAACATGATTGGTTTCAAGTTGTACTTTTTTCCTCTAATACTTATTTTTTTAAATTAGCATAAAATTTCCTGTGACTCCTGTTCTTATTTACTCTGTAACTCTAGACATTTTCACTGATACTGGC